AGCAGTCAAACTACAACATAAAACAAGACATATACAGTGGAACCTCAAATATCAAACTTTCTTCGTTCCAGACGGCTGTTCGAGTGCCGCTACCGAATGAATTTATTCCCATCAGGAATAACGTAAATTGGATTAGTTCATTTCAGACCCTCAAAAATACACTTATAGAAGCATTTACAAAATTACACTTACATAACTGGTTGAGTTGGGAGCAGTTCGATATTTGAGGCTCCACTGTACATCCAATACCACAGCAATCAATCTCACAACATACAACAAGACACATACATCCACTACCACAGCAGTTGATCCTCACAACTTACATAATGAGCTTGTGATTTCCAAGAGATTAATCAGCAAGTCTGTGGTATGTTTACCATACCATGGTTACCCTCCTACCTATTAATAAAATTTGTTTACTGCTGGTAAAATACATGTTGGGAATATTTTGCAGTGTCATTTGTTTAGAAACAGACAAGCACATATATTTTAAAAAGCAAATGCTGTCTTATGTTTGAGTGGAGGATGATCATGAAGAAATACTACAATTAGATGAACTCATAGATGAAAAAAGATTATAACTACAATTTTGCTCAAGACTGTGAATTATAACTGACAGAGGAGGGAATTTGGGGGGTGAGAGGAAGGGAAATGTAAGATTTATAAACTAACAAGATTCAAAAGTCCTTCAAAATACTGTGTTGTAAAATGTTGTAGTCTATGCTAAAACACACCTCAAATTAATAATAAAAGGAATAACAACACGATCATAAAAAACTAAAAAAATAAGCATCATTTAAAAAGTTTCAATAGAATTAATAAAGTCAATCACTTATCCAGTTTTCTATTATTCAACTTCCACAATTACCTGGCCATCTAGAACTTAATCAACTCCATTGCCCATGTCTTATTTTTTATCCTGTCTCTTATCAAGAAACATCATGTCTCCTAACATGGCTGTTAATCACATGATGACTTTTTCACTAGGTAAACATCTGCTGACCTACTGGAACTATGACAGTCTTGTTTAATCTAACATGACCATGCACAGCACACTACTTTCATTAAAAAACAAATATGATTTCATTCAAAATACGATCACTGGATTTTCCACATCAAAAATTGTGTTTGTTCTCTCGGGTTTTTCTTATGAATGTTGTTATAAATCAGTTTAGAGTGATATAATGAGGATAGACTGTGAAAAAATAGAGAATTTGCAAATACATATCATCCCTAATACTCTTTCCTCCCTCCCTCATCCAGCTAACCCATCACCTTGAATCCCTTCATAAATGTTACCGTGCTCATACTCCAACAGCACATCAAGCTTAACATGCTCACATAAGCCTCCTGGATACTCAAAATACTGGCAATCAAGATTTCCCATACCCCCTCCCTCCTTTCTGGAAATTCCTGGGATGACCCCTAACCCTCTTTCCTTACACCTCAGATTTATACAACTTTTTAGTCTTCTTATTCTGTTACATCCTCTCTAAATGCCCAAACCACCTTAACAACCCTGAATTCTCTGCATAATATTTACACCACACACTGTTCTCAAACATTTTCACTGCCTCTGGTCTCCTCCTTCCTGCAATATTTAAAACCCATGTTTCACATTGATATATATGTTGGTACTACTATACTCTGGTATATTTTCCTTTTTGCCTCCATAGATAAACACTTCCTCTGCACAGACACCTCAATGCACCACCTATTTTCCCCCTCGTCTTTCACAGACCCATCAGCATATCCACTCCCAAATATGTAAGTACATTTATTTCCTACATACAGTAGGGCCCCACTTATATGGCAGGTTTATATCCAGACTACTGCGAGAAAGCAGAAAGCCATTTTTTCCACTTATAATTGCATATAAATGCCAGTTAAATTTACACTAACATATATTATGTTAGCAATAGAACTAGGTATTAAAAAAATAAAAAGTAAAATACACACAGTACACTCATTACTTACCTTAAAATATCTGTAGTCTTAATGTAGGGTGAGAGGTGAGTAGTATTTATTTGTAGGAAGTCAGGTGTGGGAGGTTTGGTAGTCAGCCAGACAAGTCCACCCTACCCCACCCACACATACACATACTATGGCATTTAAAGTGCAATAGAGTGATAAAATACATGAACAGTACACTCATTACTTACCTTAAAATATTTGTAGTCTTAATGTAGAGCAAAAGGTGAGTAAATAAGGTAAAATGAATAAACGAGATAGAGAGAACGAGCAAATGAGAGAGGAGAGAGACGTGAAGAATGTAAACAAGCAGACAAATCCATCTGGTTTTGGTTCATACACGTAACATCTCATATTTGTTAATTTATTCTACTGTGGGATATACTTATCATGTTTATGTTACATACCGTGTTTATTATATATTTTTGAAAAAAATATCACAGATGGATTAATGAAAAGGTTTACATTAACATAATATATGACATTTAATGTGCCTCAGTGATTATTATAGTGTATTATCATTATCATTATTAATATGGTGTCCTCAAGACCAATAAGACACTCATACTGATTTTAATGTGTACCTGCATGCCAGCACAGTGTGTAAGTTTATTTAGGTACAGGTACACATAAGTATATTTATCAGAGTACAGTGGACCCCCACTTAACGATCACCTCCAAATGCGACCAATTATGTAAGTGTATTTATGTAAGTGCGTTTGTACGTGTATGTTTGGGGGTCTGAAATGGACTAATCTACTTCACAATTCCTTATGGGAAAAAATTCGGTCAGTACTGGCACCTGAACATACTACTGGAATGAAAAAAGTTCGTTAACCGGGGGTCCACTGTATATGTAAAACATCTAGGTAGTAGGTTGGTAGACAGCAGCCGCCCAGGGAGGTACTACCGTCCTGCCAAGTGAATGTAAAATGAAAGCCTGTAATTGTTTTACATGATGGTAGGATTGCTGGTGTTTTTTCTCTCATAAACATGCAAGGTTTCAGGTACGTCTTGCTACTTCTACTTACACTTAGGTCACACTACACATACATGTACAAGCATATATATACACACCCCTCTTGGTTTTCTTCTATTTTCTTGCTAGTTCTTGTTCTTGTTTATTTCCTCTTATCTCCATGGGGAAGTGGAACAGAATTCTTCCTCCGTAAGCTATGCGTACTGTAAGAGGTGACTAAAATGCCAGGAGCTAGGGACTAGTAACTCCTTCTCCTGTATGTATTACTAAATGTGAAAGGAGAAACTTTTGTTTTTCCTTTCGGGCCACCCCGCACTTGAAATTCTGGAAAGTTTCCAAACATAATGGAGAGACACTGTGCTCATGGAAAATGTGAACAAACTGGGTGGGACACGGTGATCATATTAGAAAGTCATGTGGGGGGAGCCATATAGAGTTTTGGTTATCATTTGAAATGTCTGTATTAGGAGAATGACGTAAGGCGAAACGCCATAAAGCGGGGCCGTACTGTACTCCCTCCCTCCAATCTGACTTCCAATTTTTCACTGCTTAGACATATCATTACTTTTCACATTGCTCTTTTCTATGTTTACTTTTAATTTTCTTCTTTTATGCACCCTCCCAAATTCACCCACCAACCTTCAAAACTTCTCTTCCAAACCTCCCAAAACAACTATCATCAGCAAAATGCAGTTGAGACAACTTTCACTCTGTATCTGATTCACTATCATTTGATTCCACACCTCTCTCCACCACCCCATTATTCACTTTTACAACTCCAATATTCTTCTTATATTTAATGAGACAATAATAAAAATAATAATACTTTTGTTTTTCTTTTTGGGCCACCCTGCCTCGGTGGGATACGGCCGGTTTGTTGAAAGAAAGAATAATAATAATAATAATAATAATAATAATAATAATAATAATAATAATAATAATAATAATAATAATTTGGAATTTTATTGAGTTCCTGTTCTTTTGAAGAAATTCACAATGACTTGCATGTTAAGCTATAAACATAACATTCAAGAGTGAGAATATGACCATCAGGATCATAGGGCCTAGAACAGTGATGTGTTGTGAACTAAGGCTTGAAAGCACGAACAGACTCCTGACTTTAATAATGGTAACATGGTATACACATCCTGGGAGCTACGAAGGAGTCCTGACTGCTTTGCCACCATAAAAAAAATGAACCGTATCCTGAACAATGACACGAATCTTAAAGATGAATTATCATACTTATAGAAAGTGCTAAACCCACAAGGGAAAGTTTAATTAAAGATTTATTTACTGTATTTACTTTGCTTACAACCATAAGCAATAACAGTACTACTAAGATAAACAATTTACATAAAGCCAACTTATAAAGTACTATACCACAATACTGAGAAAAACTTAGCAATACAGAACATTGCATTACTAAGGCCTATACAATACTAAAAACAAAGCACAAAGCTTTGATAATTATGGATAATTATCAGGATGGATAATAATTTTGGAAAAAAGAGGCAATTATACAGAATATGTAAAGCACATTTTTTTTTTTTTTTTTTTGGTGGGCTGACAAAACTTCAACTTTAAAAAATATAATTATTACATTGTAAAAGTCAACCTTTAGATACAATTATTTTTGCTTCATTTTAATATACTTTTACACTTTGCAATAAATGGTCATAGACATTCCTAACACAAAAATTCCTGCTCTCTTCACCTGAGATGAAATAAAGCTTTTGTATCCAATATGTAGAGATTAATTCAATAATATTTTAAATTTGTTAAAATGTATTAATTTAGACATACAGTAATTATATGATAAGTTATATTTATGCTTATGTTATCTTTATTTTCATTTATTACATACAAGTATACACAGCTTTTCTGCACATCTGATAAGAAAACAGTTTGTCGCTAATGTTATGACAAGTGAATCATGAGATGGCGAGAGGACGAAAAAGCTGTGTATATATAACATAGGCAACTAACCCATTAGCCACAACATAGCAACAATAGCTAGCACAGCAGCGACACATGAAGAGGTAATTACTGGTGGTGGATTGTTGGGTTCATGCGTAGAAGCCGACAGATTCAGTACATTATCAGAGTAACAATGCTCCAAGTTTATGTCATTAGCACTGTCATTAAGCCCTGCATCATTACTGTGTTTCAGTGTCTGAAGCTCCAGCCATGTGTCAGCTCCTGAACTAGCGTCAGCTTCTATACTAGCGTCAGCACCCAGCAGAGTGACCCGAGTTTCATCAGCAGCAGCATCAGGGCACAGCAGCAAGTCCACTCCTTGCTGCGGTGTTCGCGTCTTTGCTTTCTTTCTCACCCATGTCCCTGACTTTACAATGTCAGAATATATGTTGACCATGCCAGCAATATGCAAGGCAAAGTCAACTCACCATCATGAGGCAATTAAAAAAAACATACATGAACTGTATATGCAGTAAGCTTTCTTTCTAAGCTAATCTGTACAGAGCAATTTTTTGCTAGAGCAATTGAAAAAAATGTATCCAAAAATAAACAGCACTTAATACGTAAATCTTTTCAAGTGTTATTCAACTTTGAATACACTTTTTTTAAATCACACTATATAGAGGAGCTTTATAAGCAAGCTTACTAAAAATACAACTAATAAAAAATAAACATTGGTACAATATAAAATTACCAAAAATAATGCATTAAAATGTTATGAAATAAAACCAAGTAATTTATATATACACTAACCTTTTTTATATGGCAATGTTCATTCCTGAATTTAATGCAGGATAAAAACTGCAAACTATTTCTGACACTCTTGCACTCAAATAACCAACATGCAAAATTTTTACCTCATTTTCTTAAGAAAAAATAATATATACCATGTGTACATTATATATATATATATATATAATATATATATATATATATATATATATATATATATATATATATATGTACATACAGATTATTTATTTCAGCATGATACAATGTCTGTACAGAGATGGGTGACATTTAGGAGCGCATGCATTAAGTCCCTTAGTATAGATACATAAACAGACAGAAGAACTCATCTTTTGTTACATAAATTAAAAAAATGGATTAAAATTAGTGATGACAGGAAAAGCTCATATAAAAGGATCAAAGCAGGAAATAAAGAACAACCAGAATGACCAGGATAACCAGGATGAACAATGATTTATGGTAGATGAGGCACAAATCTCTCCCTCTCTCACACACCTAACCCCCTCCCACACACACACACACACACACACACACACACACACACACACACACCACAGCTGTAAGTTAAGGGTCCCCTCACCCCTAGAGAGCCTGAGTGTCAGAAACAGAGTTATTAGCATTAGCATTCAATAAGGAAAAAGGGTTAAAAGATTACTAACAACAGTGTGCATAAGCTGAAGACAGACAACTCTTACCTAAAAAGACACATACATACATAATATATAATATATATACACGAGTATATATATATATATATATATATATATATATATATATATAATATATAAATATATTATATATATATATATATAATATATATGAAAAGCATATAAATCAATAGGGGAAGGAAGGCGGGGTAGGGGTCGTCCTCGAAAGGGTTGGAGAGAGGGGGTAAAGGACGTTTTGTGGGGGAGGGGCTTGGACTTCTAGCAAGCGTGCGTGAGCGGTTAGATAGGAGTGAATGGAGACGAATGGGACTTGGGACCTGACGATCTGTTGGAGTGTGAGCAGGGTAATATTTAGTGAAGGGGTTCAGGGGAAAACCCGTTATTTTTCATATAGTCGGACTTGAGTCCTGGAAATGGGAAGTACAATGCCTGCACTTTAAAGGAGGGGTTTTGGGATATTGGCAGTTTGGAGGGATATGTTGTGTATCTTTATACGTATATGCTTCTAAACTGATGTATCTTGAGCACCTCTGCAAAAACAGTGATAATGTGTGAGTGTGGTGAAAGTGTTAAATGATGATGAAAGTATTTTTCTTTTTGGGATTTTCTTTCTTTTTTGGGTCACCCTGACTCGGTGGGAGACGGCTGACTTGTTGAAGAACAAAAATATATAAATATATATATATATATATATATATATATAATATATATATATATATATATATATATATTATATATATATATATATAAATATAATATAATCCTAGGTAGCAGGTTAGTAAACAGCAACTGCCCAGGGAGGTACTATCGTCCTGCCAAGTGAGTGTACAATGAAAACCTGTAATTGTTTTACATGATGGTAGGATTGCTGGTGTCTTTTGTCTGACTCATAAACATGCAAGATTTCAGGCGTCATGCTACTTCTACTTGCACTTAGGTCACATTACACATACATGTACAGGCATATATATACACACTCCTCTGGGTATTCTTTTGTTTTCTTTCTAGTTCTTCTTCTTGTTTATTTCCTCTTATCTCCATGGGGAAGTGGAACAGAATTCTTCCTCCGTAAGCCATGCATGTTGTAAGAGGCGACTAAAATGCCGGGAGCAAGGGGCTAGTAACCCCTTCCCCCGTATAAATTACTAAATTTAAAAGAGAAACTTTCGTTTTTCTTTATGGGCCACCCTGCCTTGGTGGGATACGGCCGGTGTGTTGAAAGAAAGAAGAATATATATATATATATATATATATATTATATATATATATATATAATATATATATATATATATATATAATATATATATATATATATATAAATATATATACCCCATCCTATATATATATATATATATATATATACAGTGGTCCCTCGATTATCGACGGTAATCCGTTCCTGGAAGCCGGTCGATTATCGAAATGGTCGATATACGAATCAATTTTCCCCATAAGAAATAATGTAAATTCAATTAATCCGTTCCTGACACCCAGAAGTATTAAAACAAAAAAATTTTTTACATGAAATATTCATGTAGTACATAAACAATACAATGGGAAATGATGAATGAAACATTAACAGCATAACACTTACCTTTATTGGAGATTCTTCTTAGTGTATGGGAGACTGGAGGAGGAGAGAGTGTATTGTTTATAGTTTGGAAGGGGAATTCCCTTCCAGCAACACCTCAGGTACCATTTGCTTTTCTGGGGTTGCTTCTTTTCTCTGTTTCTTAATGCCACTAGGACCAGCTTGAGAGTCACTGAGTCCTGTCTCGCAAAATAACTGTGCAGAGAGCTCTGTTTCTGGCATCTCTTTAAAACTTCCCTAAAATGGGCCAAGACTCTGTCACTGTACAAGTTGCCGATATGGCTTGCAACATCCTTCTCTGGGTGATGTTTCTCCATAAATCTTTCCATCTTACCCCACATAGTAAAAATCTCCTTAATTTCTGAAGAAGGCACCTTCTTCCATCTCTCTTCCTCCTCCTCTGCAGCAAGATTCTGAGCTGCGATCTGTTGCTCTTCCTGCTGAAGCTCTTGCAGCTCCTCAGTGGTTAGCTCTTCGTTGTGGTCCTCCACCAACTCTTCCACATCCTCCAAACTCACATCCAACCCCATGGAACTCCCCAGTGCCACAATAGAGTTCAAAAACTGACATAGGCTCATCAGGGTCAGCCCCAAACCCTTCCAAATCCCTCTTGTCGACACAATCTGGCCACAATTTTCTCCAAGCAGAGTTCAAAGTCCTGGTAGACACTCCCTCCCAAGCCTTACCATAAGGCTTACACAATGGAAAATACTGAAATGTTCTTTCCAAAAATCTCGTAGGGTCAAGTGAGTGTCTGAGGTCACATTGAGCACCTTTCAAACATTGCTTTGGTGTACAGTTTTTTAAAGTTTGCAATGACCTGCTGGTCCATGGGTTGGAGGAGAGGAGTGGTACTCGGGGGCAAGAACTTTACTGAGATGAACCCAAACTCCTTCAGAATTAGGTCATCCAAGTTTGGTGGATGAGCAGGTGCATTGTCCATTATTAGCAGGCACTTGAGATCCAATTTCTTCTCCAGGAGGTAATTCTTCACACTAGGGCCAAACACTTCGTTGAACCACTCTACAAAAATTTCCCTCGTGACCCATGCCTTATTATTAGATTTCCAAAACACACACAATTTACTCTTCATAACAATATTTTTCTTAATGCTCTGGGATTTTCAGAATGGTACACTAGTAACAGCTTCACTTTGAAATCCCCACTAACATTAGCACAGAACATTTAGCGTCAGCCGTCTTTCATAGCTTGTGTCCTGGCATTGACTTTTCCTCTTGTGTAATGAAGGTCCTCTTTGGCATTTTCTTCCAGAAAGGCCTGTTTCGTCACAATTGAACACTTGTTCAGGATTCAGTTCCTTCAGCTTCTATGTACTCCTGGAATTCATGCACATATTTTTCAGCCGCCTTGTGGTCCGAACTGGCAGCCTCACCATGCCTTACCACACTGTGTATGCCAGTAACGCTTCTTAAATCTCTCAAACCAGCCTTTGCTGGCCTTAAATCACTCACTTCACCACTATTTGCAGGCAATTTATTACCAAATCTTCATGCAACTGCCTAGCCTTTTCACACATAATCGAGGTCATAAGACTGTCTCCTGCTAATTATTTCCTCATTTATCCACACCAATAATAACTTCTCAACCTCTTCCAGTACTGGTGATCTCATTTTTGTCAGCATATTTACCCCCCTTTGCAACAACAGCGTCCTTGATTTCCTTTCTCATGCTATGATGGAAGATATGGTTGAATGATTTTTTTTGTTATACATCCTCGCCAGTTCGCCCACACGTACGCCACTATCATATTGTTCAATGATGTTTTTCTTAAATTCAATGGTATATTCTCACCTTCTTTACCAAAGGTTTGGCACTAGGAGCTTTCTTTGGAGCCATGGTAGCTTATTTAGCACTTAAATAACTTGCAAGCACTAAAATAAATGAAATATTATGAAATATTTCACTGGAGCACGTGAGAGGACCGCCGCTAACTGGTAAACAATGGCACACTGGCGGGAAGGAAGGCTGAGGCGGGTCGAGGCCCGCTTACCTCATGCATATCGCGTCTGGGACGACGGGTCGAGACGGGTCGATAAACGAATTTCGGTCAAATCCCGAGTCAATATTTTGTCGAAAAAAACGGTTGATTTCCGAAATGGTCGACTTTCAGGCTGGTCGATTATTGAGGGACCACTGTATATATTAAATATATATATATATATATATATATATATTATATATATATATAATATATATATATTATATATATATATATATATAAATATATATAAATATATATATATAAATATATATTATATATATATATACGTAGGTTGTGGGTTGGTAGACAGCAACCACCCAGGGAGGTACTACCGTCATGCCAAGTGAGTGTAAAACGAA